TTGGACTTGAAGTATATGAGGGACAGGCAACAGAGATTTGGTTGCTATCAAACTCTAAAATGAAACGCTTTGTTTTTTGGCAACAAGAAAGAAGATAAATATACACCGATAGTGACAGTAGCAAGTCAAAATTGCAATGATATAATGGTATCATTGTGGGAAAAGGCTTCAGGCTTAAGTGGACTCATTGTTGCGATGTCAGCCAATCAGGAAAGGGCAGCGGTATGTGCGGGATTGGATGGAGCGAAATTTCAAAGTCATTGTCCAGCCGGAAGGCCGAATGAATGAAGTTCTTGCCGAGTTTTTGAAATTCACGCAAGACTTGAGCCCGGACAGTGGCCCACTGTCACGGGGCATGATTTTGATGTGCGAGCCAACCGCTTTGCTTTGTGGTTTGTTGTGATGTTCAAGGGGTTCTAGTCCTTTTTTGACATCATTGCTTTCCGCCCTAGTTAGCTGCTGCTGTGAAAAGTTGGAAGATTCCACGGTTCACTCTGGTCTTGCTGGACTGCACCGTTTTTCCAGCAAACGCAGCGTACTTGGAGGGGGCATTGCAGCATTTGGCAACTGTTGTCCACTTCGGCGGGCATTGTGTTGGGCACGTTCAGCTTCCCATGCACTTCAGCAACGCGACTCTTTCTGCTTGGGTTAAGCATTCGAACACTGTGCAGCAGTCGCTGCTCTCCAAGAAGGTTGACTTCAGCAACCTGACTACGCTCGACTTCCGCAAGCCATCCGACGCTGCGTCGAATGACAAGAGGAAATCTAGCCAGACATGCTTCAGTTGTGTCAGCGATGGTGACAAATCATTGTGGCAACTCCCTGGCGTCAAGATCAGTGAGATGATTGGTTGGGACAGCGAGAATAAACCCGGCCCTTCTGCACGCATCGAGCAGAGTCGTGGCCAAGCCGTATGCATTTTGAATCTTGAATCTTTGTTGGTGTGCTGCTGACGTTTTTCAACAACCTTTTTTGTGACTGTTTTGTTGTCGCCCAGGAAAGGTGTCGCCGCCCATGACCAGATTCTGAAAGCATACTTGGACGGAGCTCGGTGGAAGCAAGGTGATGCTGTGGTCATCCTGGATTTGATCCCGAACCGGACTGGGGTGTGGTGAAAAGGTGTCGAACCATTTGTTCAAGTGTTCAACTTCTTGATGAGTGATGTGATAGAGAGACTTTCGTTGTCCCAGAGGCAGGCAGAGTTTGGCCGCGCTGCTTTGCAGAGAGCATTGTCTGGCGGCGACTCGCCGGCGGTGAAATACATGGGTGTATTGAAGCCAGACCAGCGCGATGTGTTTCAATTCTTCGAGAAGTCCATCTACGATGCATGGGATTCAAAACCTACGTCGCCGCCGAAGGTGCGTGAGCGAGCTGCTGCTGAAACGCCAGACTTGGGCATTTTGTCATGGGTGAATGGGGTGCCACAGATGCCCGACTCTGTGCTGACAAAATTTCCTGTTGGGGCCACCCACCTCAGCGCAATCCTTGAGTTGAAGGGCACCCTTGAGTCTCTGTGGCCTTCGACTAGGAATGTCAGGCCTCAGACCAATGGTCAGGTTGTCCGCGCTGCATTGACTCCGGACCTGAGCGGGGCTAGGCTCCTGGATCTCAACCGGGAGGTCGATCTGCCACATATCGGGTTGACGGGCATTTCTGTGTCAAGGAAGCCGTGTTGCGTTGAAGTTGATGTTTCCGAAACAGTATGTTGAGAGCAAGTGTTTTTGCTTTCAGCTCTGAGTCTGGTCGCATGGTGAGGATGGCGTTCTGCGCTGGAAAGAACAACAAGCCGAGCATCCTGATCACGGCTGAACACGAGATCTACCTGGGAAATTTGGGCAACGAAGACCTGCTGGTCCAACAGGGAGAGCTATTTGGATTCTTACGAACAGAAACTCACCCAGGGTCTGGGCGAGCAGGAAGTAGCGACCATTCCTGGGCGCCTAGAGTCTGATTGCACACTGATTGCATCGGAGAAGCGCCCCTACCCATTGTGCACCTACATCAACCAGCTGGCCAGAGATCAAGGTTTTGGAGACGTACTTCTTGAAGACCATGACTTTACCCAGAAGATGACTAAGGAGTATCGTTTGTTTTGTCCTAATCTTTGTCGCTTGGCAAAGAGCCAAGATTTTGCACTTTGCTCCAGGACGCTGCGGGGAATGATGTGTTGGTGCCCTTCCGGTACGTAGTCAACTCACTTCCTTCAAAACGAACCAGCTGCTTCCGCCTAAACACACTTCAATCCAGCTTCAACTCTGAGAGCCACAGCCCCGCGACGCTGGGAGCCGTGTTTGGTGGGAGCACCAACCGCGTTCCAAAGCAAGGAACCAACGATGTGGTGGCGTTGGCGTGGGACGCTGCTTAGTAGACTTGGGGGCGTTGATTGTTGGGGAGGGCGGCGGGTTTGTTGGTCATCGTATTTGGTGGCAGCAATTCTTTTACAATTCAAGAAGGAAACCCGTTTCAGATTCAGCCAGTAAGAGAAATGTCTTGAAGTTGAACATCTATCACCTGGTCCTTTCTTCTGTCTTGTCAAGCAGACCCCAGCGACCTTCTCAGGTTTCTGTGGTGACTGGATCTTCGACGCCAAAGGTGGTCCCTGTCAAACCCAAAATCTATTTGCTGTGCAGCTTGCGCTTGCCAGCTCAGACTTGGATCAAGGTGACCAAGCCTTGAGCAGGGTAGTGGTTTCTCCTTGCGGTAAGCCTGGCCGGGTGGAACTTCCACGTGACAGTTGCATTTTTGCAAGAAGTTCCAAGCCTATTGTTTTTCATTTTTCTTGTCAACGTTCTGTTGGAAAAAGCAAGGGGGGTTGCATCGTTTTGCGGCCAAGCACCGTGACCGCACCACGCGGGTCAAACCAGCCATATAGAGTTGAACGTGTGGGCCTGTGTAGCGCAGCCCCAGTAGACATGGAACCGGCAGTTCGGATACAAGTCCGATGTCCATGCAAAAAACATGGTGTCAGGCTGCAGCCCTGAAACTTGTTACTTGTAGTGAGAAGGTGTTTCTGCTTCGTCGAGGTTTTTCCATTGAATGCGCCGGCTGACAGTTTTTGTGTTTGCAAAGAGGGACAGACTTGCGCGCGTGATTCATTTCGTGTCTAACTTAGTATGCCTCCCGCGCCGGTGACCGAACTTTCTGGAAGTGAACCAGAAGAGCTCCAGCAGGCGTTTCTGCATCAATGTGGTGTTTTCCTTTTGATTGATTTGCTAGGAATTGCTTTTTTGTTGGCATGCAGGCCGCCCCTGAGGCAAAGGCTGCTTCCCCAAAGAAAACCCTCCCAAAGAAACGCCCTCGGCCTGACACCCCAGAGCAAACAGAGTGCCTCCCCACTACCACAGGGCCAAAAAAGAACAAAACAGCAAAGGCCAAAGCAAAGGCCACAGCAAAGACCGTGTCAAAAAGGCCTGCAAAGAAAGATGACAAGCAAACTGAGCCAAGCACTGACCCATACAGAAACAACACAGGGCAAGGAGGAAAGCCAGCCACAGCCTATGAAGCGCCCCGCCGCAGCAGGCAAGTTTTGATTCCCGATTCCCCTTGCCAACAACATGTCGCCTGGCACATGTTCATTCTTCAGGTCAAACTCACGTTGTTGCGGGGGGAGGCGCTGCGCCCTCCCCCCTGCACCCCCCACCCCGCTTCCTAACAGGCATCCTCCTACCTAACAGGCATCCTCACGTTGTTGCGGAAGGAGGCGCTGCGACCTCCCCCTGCGCCCCCCACCCGCTTCCTAACAGGCGCCCTTGGCTGGCAGGCATCCTCCTAACAGGCACCCTGCCTAACAGGCACCCTGCCTAACAGGCATCCTCACGTTGTTGCGGGGGGGGGGCACTGCGCCCCCCCCCCTGCGCCCCCCACCCGCTTCGTAACAGGCACCCTTGGCTAACAGGCATCCTCCTAACAGCCACCCTTGCCTAACAGGCCTCCTCCTAACAGGCACCGTGCCTAACAGGCATCCTCACGTTGTTGCGGGGGAGGCGCTACGCCCTCCTCCCTGCACCCCCCACCCGCTTCCTAACAGGCACCCTTGGCTAACAGGCATCCTCACAGAGCAGGGAGTAAACAACACAGGCATCCTCAGAAATAAGGCTGGCGGGTTGGAAAGGAAAGACGGGGGGTTGAAAAAGAAAGGGCAAGTGTTGAAAAGAATGAGGGGGGGGTTGAAAAAGACAGGTGGGAGGTTTAAAAAAAATGTTGGGGGGTTGAAAAAAAGGGTGGAGGTTGGAAAAAAAAGGTTGGGGTGTTGAAAAAAAGTAGTGCCCATTTTGATTTTCCATTTTTGCACTCACTTGCAGCCACTACTTGCAAGCCACTTGCAGCCACTTGAAACCACTTGCAAGTAGTGGCTGCCAAGTGGCTGCAAGTGACTGCTACTTCTGTCCGGAGAATATCATGATTTCTCCGCACGCAGTTCTGAAGAAAACAAAGATTTCTGCAATGCTGTTCAGCAAGGAAATTCCGGTTTTCTCCAGAGCTGCGCGCGGAGAAATGAAATATTCCAAGACTTTTCCGAGAATAAATTCCAAACTTCTGCAGAGCTAGCGACGACGAAATCTTACAGTTTTTACATAAAGAACTCAAAGTGCAAGTGTTGAAGTTTACTTGCTTGAGTGATAAGTGGCTGCCTGAGCAAGTGTCTGCAAGTGGCTGCAAAGCCCAAAAATCAAAAGGTACGTCATTTGCTCGCTCTCTGTTTACTTTTATAGTTAAACGTTTTTGATGTTCTCATCAACTGATGGCAGAATCAAGTATCCATAGGGAGTACTCTATATGCTGATATCTACCCTTTTCTCACCTCAAGGGAAGTGGAGGTAGCGGCCATGCCGTGAGTGTCGCGGAAAGTCATCACAGAGTGATTGGGCCACTCGTTCCCATGCTTTCCCGAGAATGATTCACAGCTAGCGTTTCTCACACGAGTTGCAGCTGAAATGTTTTGAGTTGGAATCCTAATACAACGGCCTCCCTGGGTCTTTCCTTGACGCAGTGACTTCGAGGCCTTCAGATTCATTTCTTCGGTTGTGAGAGCCTCGGTTCGTGTAAGCCAAGAAAACCAGCCCAGGCAACATCAAGCACGGGTTGTTTGTTGCCTATTGATACTGTGTGAATTTATATATTTTAGTTTTTTGTCAATTTCCTGTGGTCACAATAGTTCCAATCCAGAATCATGCTACCAGATGTGAGCCGATTGCGATTTTTGCCTGTCTCTCAACATGCCCAAATTGATGTCCGAAGCAGCCCACCCAAAGTGTTCAGGCAGCAAATCCACCCCGCCTAAAATACGGACACTGTGCCATCCCAGCACTACACTGGCAATTTTTGGTCAACACATGATGTGTAAAGGCCTTTTAAACACACTCGAAACTGCTTTCTTCACACCTGGCGTGGGGTTTGTGTGGGTGGTTGTGCTTTGTGCCCTGGTGTGGCCCTTCATGCTCTTTTTGCCGCGGCCACCTGCAGCTTTATGGAACATTTACTAAATCTTGCTATGAGGGAAAGCGCTTTGACCCATCCCATTGACTCGACTCATTTATATTTATATATATATATTATTACTTCAAGTATTATAGCAAGAGGTTCCTGTGTGCGCTTTAGAGCCCGGGTGCTGGCGCTGCAGGGTGCCGCTATCAAGAAGTGTGGTACTCTATTTTTGTTGCGACCATTTTATGTGACCTGCATTGGAGGAGGGTGGGGTGAAGCAGGGTTGTTGAAGGGAAGGCCGAATGTGTTTTTCTTAGAACAGTTGAAGGCTTTGACCACAGCTGGCAAAATCTCAGTAATAGGACAATAGGACTTGGCTCCTCGCTCGGTGATCAGAACCCTCAAATTATTGCAGATGATGCAAAGGCAATGATTCTAATTCTCAGCAGAACTGTTGATGTATGGGGCACAAACTTGTGGCAGTCAATCCTGCATGAGCTGCCTTGAAGGTCACAAGGGCAAGCCGCGGCCTTGGTTGTGTCTCTTTTTCCAAAAGAGGTCTTTCTCCGAAGAGAGTGTAAACAGCGCTGAATGTGCAGGCGGAGCAAGTGCAAGCAGCTCGTACCCAGGCGTCACCGCCTTGCGACGCTAAGTCAAGAGAACACGTTTGAAACTTTGTGAGGAAGCTTGTACTCTCTTTTTGACGTGCATTCAAAATACCCGTAGCGAGTGTTTCTGAAGGACAGCGCCCGGATGCCACCTCATGAGACCAGTTTCAGTGACAGGCGGCACGTTAGGGTTTGCAGAGCCGGAAAAGATGCTCAACAATTTCATCAAGATTCCTCAAGATTGACCCTTTGTGCGAGGGTTTCAACTGGTGGCGTGGTGCAGCGAAAATCCACTGGTGGCATGGTGCTTGATGCGCTTGCACGCTTGGCAGAACAATGCACTGACGTTCCAAGGTTTGGGAACTGAACGTGCATGGTTCGAACGGCAAGAGAGGCCGCCACAAACTGTTGCAGAGCGCTTATGCAAACCAAATTCCAATGGCAGGGCTCGTCGACGCAGATTACAGGACAGACCCCTTTTGCAAATTTACATCACCATTTTGCTGTTCAAATGATTTCCCAGATTGCAGGGCGTGATGAACCTCATCCAACGTCACAATATCATTATTGCAAGAAAAAGGTGGGCAGTGTTAGGCCACCTTGTGCATCCTGCTTCATTGGGATTTGAGGTCGGCCATCGGGTCTATTTTTCTGATCGACGTCCCATTCTTGACAATTCGGGCGGCTTCCTTAGAGCCCTTGTTTCAGCCAAAGGATGTGCTGTGCCAGTTTTTGAGGTGTGGCTGTGGGCTTTGTGCATCCCTTGGTAAAGCTGTTTCCCATGTGCCTTTGGTCTCATAAAATGTTTTGTGCTTGGTGTTGCCTTTGAAGGCTCCAGCACACATACTTTCCTGGACTTGGGATCAAGAATGGGCTTTGTATTGTGGCTCAGCCATGCTTCAGATCACGGTGGGTCAAAGTCACCAAGTGCACACTGTTCACACAACAGGTTTTGAATGTCATGCAGTACACTCTGGTGGCGCTCGCGAGCCGTTTACTAAGTTTATCCAATCTATCCGAAATGTGAGTTCCTTTAACGGCCTTTCAGGCAAAGAGTCCTTCAAGAGGATCAAACGCGAGATTGCTGAATACATTACGAGGTCAGGACCCCACACGCTGACCTGTTGTTTGAAAGCACATAGGGATGTTTGGAATCAGGTTTCACAGCAGCACACTGAATGAAGAGGCCCCTGCACAGCCCTTGATGACCATGTGCACTGAGCCCAGTCAACCCCAGCACTGTGGCGCCAGGCTGATCAAGATTCTCCAGAACTTGCTGCACAGGATGAAGGCGTGGCAGGGTTTCGCAGAGATCCTGAAGGATCAGCACAGCAAAGCAGAAAGTTTGATACAGTTTGTAGTGTTTGAAGTCCACGATGACATCATAAGCACATTGTCGCATGGTCAGTCACTTCATCCTTGTGAAGAGTCAAGCATTTTGCACGCATCGCACAGCTTCAAGTCTTCTTCGTTTGGAATTTGTGGGCCAGGTGAGACGGCGCCTGTTCTTCACTCAGACTTTTTCAAAACACATTCACATTGGAGGCCATCGCTACAAGCAGCTCCCCTTCTTATATTCTGATATTTTCTACTCCCATTCAGACCTATATAAAACTCTACATAACTTACAGTAAGTGGAGTGTGAGCGCGGGGATAGGGTTCTCCAAAAATGGCTTGGACACAGTCCATTCAAAGCCACTAGAGGATGGTGCAAGCACACCAGAGCGGCAGGCCTTGCAATCTCTAGCAAAGCATTTGCCCAATTCTAATTCAAGGAAAGGAAGAAAGAAGGAAAAAGGAAAGGCCTACACAAAAGAAAAGGAAAGAAATGACAAGAATGAGAAGAACAGCAATTCTTTACGGAAGAACTGGACATCACAGGACTCGGTGCCCTCACTTTCTGCTTCCAAAGAGCAGGCAAGGCAATGGAACAAAAGAATCCACAACAGCACCCAAACGGTTAAACTGCAACACTTTCCTTTTTGTAAATGCATATATATTAAATGCATATATATATATAAGATAAATGCTTTAAGAGCTGAGTGCCAGTTTGAAGAAGGTGATGACGAACAAACGCTACTGAACAAAAGGAAAGAAGGCTCAAACAAAGCTGAACAATCATTTGATTTTCGCTAGGCTCAGCAGATGAAGCAAGCGCTTCACAGAGTAGGTGAGCACTGACAGAACACCTGTCTTTTTAGCATTGGAATTTGGAGCAAATTGTTTTGAACCTGGTGTCCTCGTGTGCAAATGCAGGCCGAGATAGCGCTAGAGGTATTGGAATTTGCAAGCAACTTACGCAGCCGGAACTTTGACGATGTGTTTTGTCTACTGCTGGTTTGAAACGGATTTCCTGTGAGTGAGGTGTATATATTGTTGTTTTGGCACTTGCTTTTGGAGCTGGCTTCATTATCGCAAAAGGTCGGCTTGCGCATGTCAGCACAAAAGAAGTGCAGACATTTGGACAATGCCAATTTGCGAGGCGAGACAGTCGTGGAGCTGTTCATTGCGTGGGTGAAGGACCTCCGATTTGCAGGGTCACTGTCCGGGCGATTCATGTCATGTGCCGAATTGATGTGTTCAATGCTCCAAATACATTGGCAGGCGGTCATGCACTTGACAGACAGCGCAAGTTTTGCAATGCTATTGCTATTGCAAGATAACTTGACTGTAGATGACAACATACATTTCAGACGATTCTATTTGAATTACCCCTGTCAGCATTGCAAGAAACGCTCGTCAGAAGTGTCGAAACAATGGCCATTTGGTACATGCGTCAAAGTTGTGGTGACACAGGACGCCATCGAGAATCAGGTGCATCTATGTTTATGTTCCACTTTTCAACACAGTTATTTATATATGTATAGTTGGAATATTCTGTCTATGTTCTCATTTTGCCAGTCAGCTGGTAGGACCAAAGATGAGGTGGCAAAAAAGCGCCCGCAAATGCTTGCGGAGGCATTTTGTGGGCGAGCCAGTTCTGCCAAAGGCAGCGCCTGGCAATCTTTCTCGAGATACGCCTCCTGCCAGTCCTGATCAGATCAGAGCACCCTGGTCTAAGCCACGTGTTAATTTGATGCTGTTTCGAAGCAAGGATGCAAAAGGTGTCCTGCAGATGAGAGGATTCTTCACGTTAATGCTCCAAAGTAACCCCTCAAGTTGTGGTGGGGCATTGATCACTCACTAGCCATGTGGTATTTGGGCTTGTGGCCCTTGTGACCGCCTTGTGCAAGGATCTCTCTCATGCGTAGTGTGGTAGGAGTCGGACAAGCGCAGAAGCTGAGCAACAGGCACTTGGCATGTTTGATTCAAGTCATTCAGCACAGGTCGAAGAGACAGAAACTCAGGTGTTCACCGCTGTTTCTTATTTATTTTGTTGTCACCTGTTTTTGTCGAACTGATTGGCTCAAGCAAGCAGAATCACAGCTGCTTGCGCTGCCAATTTCGTCCGTGATGGCCTCAGTATTTCTTGTGCCAGGCATTAGTCAAAATAGATATACTGATATACAGATGGATTAGACCAGATATCCAGCTAGATAGATTTATTGTTTGCCTATAGATTAATAAGTTTGGTCTTGCACCAAGGCAATGGGACAAGGTATTTGCAAATGCGTTGAAGATGAATCTAGTTCTGCGGCTACCGTGGATGTGACTTCGGTTTCCAGGCTGCAACAAATTGTGTTCAAACATTGCAGTTTTTGTTTCAAAGAGTTTGGAGTTTGACTCAGGTACCAGTTTTAGCTGACCAGGTCAAGGGGGCGAAGGCCCGCTCCTCACTGTGGTAGGGTGCATAGCAAATTGCGCGTTTGCTTGAGGCCAGCTTTATGGGTGGAATGCTTGAAGGCCCATGGTTCCGGAAAGGAGATAATGTTTTCCTCGGCAACATCAAGGACCGAAGAAGTGGGGATACAGCAGGGTAGGAAAGGGTGAACGCAATGTTCAGACTCGCAAGGACGACAAAATGACATGGGTACCAGGTTTCAATCATCCACCCTGTGAGCTTGTGGAGGTGCCAAGCTGAGAACTGTCACTTCGAGCTTTGGCTGTAAGGTTTGCTTTTTGCGGATTCGGCAGGCTGATTCACTCCGAATCAACATCTTCTTGGAGGGCAAGACGCACAGTGGGGAAGCTTCGCCCAAATTCATAAGCCCATTGTGAACCATTGAGAACAGTTCACTTTCAGGAAACAAACCGCATAAAAAGGAACCATTCTTGCAGCAATTAATAACTTGTGCTTGTTTGGCTCGGCTGCTTAGCTGGAACCGACTGGTTGGGGACTCCACTGTAGGATGTTGGCTCAATGTTGAACGCAGGCTTTCGGTGATCGCCAGCAGATTCACATGTTTATTTTGACATGAAACAGCGTCGATCACAATGCTGCAAGGTAATTTCGAAGACTGGTCCAGAAACTATGATATGTTGGAGTGATGGGGAAGTTTGGGTCAAGCGAGACAGCTGACGAGTTGCATTGATGGGAAGCTCGAATGTGCTTCCCATGTGTTTCACCACAATCGGAATAACAATGAAATCCTACATCATGTTTTTCGGAAAAGAAATAATATATTGTTCAATATTGGTTGTTATTATGATAATTTTAATAATTCTGATGAAATAATATGGTTTCGAGAATAAATTATACATATTATTAAGGGAATAATTTTTATGATATAATTTTAATAACTATATATTTAATATATATTTATTGAATTATTTGGTGAATATATTAATATTTATAATATGGCTTTAAGAAAAACAAACATATTATTAATAATTATATTTATTGAATAAGCGCCATTTCCAATTTTAATGTCCGCGGTCGCATTTGGGGGGGCCACTTGCTATGGTTTTTGTGATTTTCTTTTTATAGATTGGCATGTGGTTCTAGATTATATGCATCTTTGGTGCATTGATATAATAGATGTCTATAGAATTGGATCTTCCGGTCTTAAATCCGGGAGGCTTGAATCCTAATGTAGCATTATTTACGAAAGTTAGCGAAGCTAGTTGGAATTATTCTTGCGATAGCAAGGTTTCTTTCGATCGGGTGTAAATCCTAACCCCTGATTTTTCAGGTCGAAGACCCTCCTCTTCTCTCCTCCCTCTCTTCCCTTCTCTTCCTTCTCCTCCCCTCTCTTCCCCTCTCTCCTCTCCTCTTCCCTCCCCCCCCTCCCCTCTTCCCCTCTTCCCCTCTTCCCCTCCTCCCCTCCTCCCCTCCTCCCCTCCTCCCCTCCTCCCTACTTCTTCCCTACCTCCCTACTTCTTCCCTACCTCCCTACTTCTTCCCTACCTCCCCTCTCCTCTTCCTTGTCTTCCTCCTATCTTCCTTCCCTCCCTCCTTCCTCCCCCTTCCCTCCCTCCTCCCTCGGAGGGGAGGAGGGAAGAAGGGGAGAAGGGGAGGAGGGAAGGATTCGCAAGTTCGACTCCGTCTTGTCGTCGCTCTTTGGCATGCGGTTAGCGTTGCGTATCTTGCGGCCGCACTGTCTCACTGTCTCATTGTCTCTGTCTTACTGTCTCACTGTCTCACTGTCTCACTGTCTCATTGTCTCATTGTCTCACTGTCTCACTGTCTCACTGTCTCACTGTCATCTCTCTCATCTCTCTCATATCTCTCTCTCATCTCTCTCTCATCTCTTTCTCATCTCTTTCTCATCTCTTTCTCATCTCTTTCTTATCTTTCTCTCCTCTCTCTCTTTCTTTCTCTCTCTCTCTCTCTCTCTCTCTTTTTCTTCTCTGTCTCTCGTCTTTCCGTCTCTCTTCTCTTTCTTCTCTCGCAGGAGGATCCGGGCAAAGAGCCACATATAAAGGACTCTTCACCCTTGCCTCCAAAAAGAGCGCCGTGTTTTTTCCTACCTCACTGCCCTCCACTTTCCCATTCTGGAGCGCTAGCTTTCGCCTCCCCCTTGGCCTTAAGTTATATTACCAGGATTCGAGCCCGGCGTGAGGGTAATTAACCTTTCTTCACGGGTTGGGGTAAGTACATTGCATTCCCCTGTACCTACTACGACATGCACGAAAGCTAGTGAAGTCTGGGCGATGTTTGGTTACGGCTAGTTGGTGCACCAATCTCGAATTCGACGCATAAAACGATCATTCCGCCGGGCCTGCAAACGTGCATTGATAGCTGGACACACTAGCTACCAAGGAAAATGCTTCATGGAGTCCGATGTGCCTTTTCGATTGCGAGGTCCATTGAAGGCTGAAATACAGAGGTCAACACTGCAACCTCCGTCTCGACCGGCACAACAATCTGGCGTTATTCTGAAGATCCTCTCCTGGAATGCCACTCGAAGCTTGAGTTACTATGAATGGTTAGCCTGGGCCACGGGCCGACCTGAAGATGTACTCTGGATTCAAGAATCCAACTGGAAATTCAATGGTCAATGGGAAACAGAGCATTGGTATTGCATCCACTCTCAAGAGGCTGCTGCAAGCCAACTCATTATGGTCCGCAAAACCTTGATCCGTGCTTCCACGCTGGCGTATGCAGTGTTGATTCTAGGAAGATTGCTGCATCTCCGCCTGATGCTAGATCGAATCCATGATGTATATACGATATATCAGACGGCCTGGAACACGACCAAGCCAATCCGAGCCCTTTTGTAAGATAGGCAGGACATGTGGGGGAAACTCCGTCAGTGTATCCAACATACTCCTCAAAGCTATATGATGGTTGTCATTGGAGATTTTAATTGTCCGTTGCAACAAGACTCACAGTACATAGGCAATCATGATCCGCGCTTTGATCAGGCACTCCAATCAGATAAACAGGTTTTTCAACTCATGATCCATGAATTATCTTTGATTGCCGTTCATTGCAAGCGGAAATATGTTCCCACCTTCCTGCATGATAACCATCAGACCCGAATAGACTTCGCTTTCATGAGATCCAATCAGATTAGGTGGAAACACTTAACTGCTTCAATAGACTGCCGGTTTGAGCGCATAGGTTTGCATCAGGGACCACAACATAGACCGTTGCTGCTTGGTATTCCACGGTGGCATCCGGTGAGACCCGCTCCTTCGAAATTACCATCCATCGATCATTTTCGCCTACGACAGGAGATGATCGCAGACACCACATCATGGAGAAAATTCGTAATGGAAGCCCAGAGTTGTATCCTCAGACATCAGTACCCCTGCCAGACCCATCCGATTGACAATTGCTACTCCATGGAACATGAACTTAGAGCATTGTGTCTTGCGCATTTTCCTCGTCAGAAAAAACAATATAATTCTGACAAGATTGGGATATCCCTCACTGCCCGAATGTGGCATGCACGTCGACAGGCTAGACAGGTGCTGTATGTCCATGTTCGCACACTCTTTCACAGTTGGAAATACCTCACCATCTTTGCACATCTGCGTGCCCAGATTCGTAAATTTGATAAGATCAATAAATGCCTCAAGCTAGAGCAATTCTTGAAAGACAATGTTCCCCATGCTTTGTCAAATCGTATGCACGATTGGTATCGCAACATCCGTAAATTCTGTCCAAAGCAGCCTTTTCGTAAGATACAGTTGCATGACAAGTTTGGAGCCCCTCTTCTACCGCACCAAGAATTTGATGCCCTTGTTGATCACTTTGGCACCATGTTTCATGACGAAAATTTTGAGTTAGCACCTGCTCCGTTGAACACCATCCCTTTCACTCAGGATCAGGTTGCTTTGGGACTCTCCAAACTTCCAGTCACGAAGGCACTAGCCCCGGATGGGATGCCAGGTATGATTTGGAGGTTCTTTGCACATGACATTGCAGCAGTGGTTTATCCCGCCATTCAATGTGCTTGGACCCAGACGGGTGGGCCACAGGGTGGCTGCGCCTCCTTAGTAAGCCCAATAAACCTCCCAATCATCCAGCTGCGCTCCGACCAATCTGCCTTCAGCACCCAATCAATAAGGTACTCACTGGCATCCATTGTGCATAAGTGTTGGACCATGCTCTTCCATCCCTTTGCACGGTTCCACTGTTTGCCTACCTGCCGCGCCGCGGCACACAGGATTGTCTCCTGCTGACTTTTGAACATTGTAGACAGGTCAAGGTTTTGTGCCAACACCACAAGAGTGATCCTCTCAAGTCTGGATTGTGGGGCGGCCTACAGGTCTCAATCAATCTTGAAAAGGTATTTGACGCAATCGACAGAAACTTAGTTCTTCGTGCCATCCAAAGATTCGAGATGAACCATGACCTTCAACTCCTTGTTCAGTCGTGGCAGCATAAACATGAGTACTGCATACCCCACAAGGACTTAATTGGACGCGTCACCGCAAGCCGAGGTATAAAGCAGGGGTCCAAAGATGCCCCTTTGCTCTGGACCTTGAGTATGTACCTGATACTCGACCACCTGATGGCCAATTTCGATCTGCAATGGATCATCTCCCACGTCATAATCTATGCAGACGACATCCACCTTAGGTGGTTCATTGATAGTCCGGCCTCTGGCCTGTCGGCCCTATATGAATTAGCTGTGGTGCTGGGTACACTCAAGGCATTCCATTTCCGGGTCAATCTGATCAAAAACATTGCCATTATGCGCCTTGTGGGAAAGACCGCTCAGGCGTTTTTGAAACGATGGACGTCGAGAACAAAAGAAGGACCTCGATTGCACTTGCCAGATCAATCCTTTAGCCTTCTTCTTGTTAGCAAGACAGACTACTTAGGTGTGACACTGAGCTATCGTGCTTTCGATCATGACACCGTCGTTCGAAGAGTCAAAGCTGCCAATGTTTGCTTTCGCATCTTAAGGAAATGGCTCTTGGATCAGCATCATCCATTGATAGTTCGTCTTCGTTTGTATAACCAATGTGTTCTACCCACAGTTTCCTATGGCATATATGAGATGGGGATTTCGACACGTAGCTTTCAGATGCTTAATGGCTTAATCACCAAATATCATAGGACCATGGCCAGATCCCCTGTGCACTTGACCCGTGAAACCAATACTGAGTTCTATACACGTATGTACATTGAACCTCCATGGTGTTATTTTGTTAGACAGCAAGCTCGTCTGACCGACTCACTGTGTCGACGACGAGAAACCCTGATCCTTGAAGCCATGCAGACTGGTCAGCAAGATATCTGTGCTTTGACCCCAGAGTACCCTGACAACCAATTGCAACATGCACCCACGGCTTACGCCTCGACTTCTCAGGCACCTGAACTCAAATGTCCAGAGTGTGATCGAGCTTTTCATCAGACAGGACCCTGGAAGAGGCATATGCGTACTGCACACCAGATTCCCTGCCATATTGAAGATTTGTTTGATCCCCTGCGTGATTCGTTTGAAGGTAAGGCTACTTGTAGACACTGTCATAAGCAACTTGCTGATATACATCGACTTAGATATCACATCAATTCCAGAGTTTGCCTCCAGTTTGATCCGCACACCGCCAGTCATTGCGCATGCATTTGCGCTATAAGTCCATCCCGGGCATTTTGTTGGACAAAGCCCTAGTCTGTGA